ATGAATTAGGCTCCCCAAAACCACAATAAGGATGGTCTTGTGGCGCCCGATTCCATAATGGTAGTCTACATGGAGCCTTTGGGAAAGCGGAGGTTATTCATCAGGGCCCCGCGCCGCCCTAGGCCCGGAGACGCGAAAGAGCTACGGCTGATGATATACATCCTGCATTACCCATAATAAGGAATATACCATAATTCCCATAGTTTAGGGTCGTTAAGGTAATGCTAAGGATTTATATCATAAAAACCCTAAACCCTAAACCCTTAAACCCTAAACCCTAAGTCCCGTAATTCCCATAGTTTAGGGTCCTTTATAAGCTAATGCTAAGAATTTCTGTCATCAACCGTAGGATATGAGTGGAGGGTCTGCACTCTGAGGCCGATGCAACCACGACGCTGACATAAACCCTTAACCCTAAGCCGTTACCCTAAGGGTCCAAAGGACCCAATGATAAGGTACATTGGTTGCGGATTGAAGTTATCTGGGTGAACATTTGGGACAGTAGTAGATGGTTATTTGGCACTTGGACCCTTAGGGTTACTTACCCTCTGAGGACTCATATTTTACGGCCTTTGGGCCCAACGACCCTATGATATAAGACAAATGGGGGCTATTTTGATGTTAAGGGTCAACCGTTAGCCCCATAGAACCCTATATCAGGGGTCTGCGTTCCATTAATTTGGTTTGAGCCTGAACCCTAAATCCCAAACCCTAAACCTTAAGCCCAAATCCTAAACCCCAAACCCTAAACCCTAAACCTTAAGCCCCAAACCCTAAACCCCAAACCCTAAACCCTAAACCTTAAGCCTCAAACCCTAAACCCCAAAACCTAAAACCCTAAACCCCAAACCTTAAAGCCCCAAAACCTAAAACCCTAAACCCCAAACCCTAAACCTAAAACCCTAAACTCCAAACCCTAAACCCCAAACCTTAAAGCCCCAAACCCTATACCAGGGGTCTGCATTCCATTAATTTGCTTTGAGCCCGAGTCGACCAGTGGGTCTCCGAGGGCTCATCTCACCTAAGGGGCTGAGTACGTCACCTTTAAACTTTTAGGGCGTATGTATCCTACTATAAGGGTTTAGGGAGTAGGGTTTAGGGTAGAGTATATATCCTACTATAATTTCAAAAGGTTAACATTTTTTGGCTGGGGTACTCAGCCCCGAAGTCACCCAGGAGGGCCTCAACGGAGCAAAGTTCCTTATCTAGCCCTTGGGATTCGGGTGCTTTTGGGGCTTTAGGGCTTCAGGGTGTAAGGCTTTAGGGTGCGTTCGGGTGATAGGGTTTAGGGTGCTTTAGGGTTTTAGGGTTTACGGGTTTGATAAGGTTTTTAGGGTTTTGTCTTTCCGTCCTCTTCCCTACTAGCAAAGGCTAAAGCCGCAACTGCCTATGTCACCACAAAGTTCGATGTCCCAAGTGCTATAGGACTTCGCTCACATGAACCTTCAAAGCAAGGCTTTTTCTCTCTGGCCCGAACAGAAGAGCTTCCCATATGGTGTCAGCTTGAAACAGTGTCCCAAAGTTTGCATCGCAGCTACCCAGTTTGTATCGCAGCTACCCAGTCCCTGAATCACGGTATGCTCCTGAAAGTTCCGTGTGGATTTTCAATCCTTGAAGACGAAATGAGCCCTAAACGGGCTGATGGGTCAATTGCCATATATATGGACTGGTAGTATTAGGGTATATGGCCCTTACTTTTGAGGGCCGTCTGTTGTGTTAAGGGTTAAGGCACCCTGTGCAGAAGTAGGGGCTGTTGGAATGGCTGGATACCCAGGCTGAGCATACCATATTGGAAGCTCGAAACGGCCCGTGTCTGTCATGCGGAACCCTTAGCATCAAAATAGCCCAAGAGCCTTATATAATAGGGTCTTCGGGCCCAAAAGCCTTAAAATATGAGTCCTTTGAGGGTAAGGGGATCACTGACGTCTTGCAGCCAAGGGTTTCGGTTGTCGGTTCTAAGCCCCAACACCCTCCTCTTAAACCCTAAAATCTAAGCCCTACACCTTACCACAGGCTCCAAAGCCCTAAACCAGAACCGCCTGCAACCCTGGATCCTTAACCTCTCAAGCCGCTATGTGAGGGCATCCTATAGGGTTCAGGGATCAGGGTTAAGCTGTCTTGAGCATTCTGTGAGTTCAATTTGGCCGAAGTTTATCCAGGAGCCAAGATCGCGAACTGGACCAACATTTGGGTTTATTGTGAGGGTCCTCTTTACAAGGGTGTCGTACTCTTTTGGGGACTGAAAAAAGCGGACCCCAAATGTGGGGAACCACCCAAACCTCCAAAAACCGAAATTCCCAACCAGAGACCCGATATCCCCTAAACCCTAAACCCTTGACCCCAAACCCTGACCCCCAAACCCTAAACCCTAAACCCTTCACTCCTAAACCCTTGAACCCTAAACACCTAAACCCTCACCCCTAAACCCCTAAACCCTAAACCCTGAGCTGTTTTGGTTTGGCCGCGGTCCTCTCATTATGCGCAGCACAGACACTACCCAGACCTTCCAATATCCCGCAATTTAACCCTATGCTTCCGGTTTAGGGTTTAGGGCTAAGGGTTTTGGGTTTTTAGGGTTTAGGGTTTAGGGTTCAGGGTTTCTAACTAGCAGGTCCTTGGAAGCATAGGGTAAGGAATATGGGGTCCTAGGGTTTAGGGTTCAGGGGTATCTTTCAAGTAGAGTAGGATCCTGAGTATGACTTAAGGATACTTAAAGAAAGTGTATTCCTTAACTACACAGGTATCAAGGCCTGGGTACAAATAGTATCAGCTGTTCATAGGGAACACCCGGAACCCTACTTAAAGGATCATGGGAATTAGTAACTAGGGTTATAAGTAAGGTAGCTATACTTAGAATTACTTATAACCCCAATTAAGGCACTTATAACCTCACTTACTAAGTCCCATGAGCCTTTAAGTAAACCCTTAGGTGGAGACTAAACCCTAAACCCCTAACCCCTAACCCCTAAACCCCTAAACCGTTTTAAGGAACCCTATAGATCCCTTTAAGGAACCCTTTAAAGGAACCCCTAAACCGTAGCATGGCCGTTCAACCTGCCGGCTCATTCCTGAATCGACGGACACTGGACCTCTTGGAACCCACAGGCTCCATGTACCTTTATAGTAGATAGTTTGGCTGTAAAGGGGTCCCTATATGGGTACTTTAAGGTCTAAGTATCTACTATATGCGCACATGGAGCCTTAGGGGAAGGAAAACATATCTTTCCAAGAGGCTCCATATAGACTACCATTAAGGAGTTGGGCCCCAAAAGACCATCCTTATTATGGCTTTGGGAGCCTCATTCCATAATGGTAGTGTATACGGAGCCTCTAGGGAAGGGAGTTTTTCTCCCTCCATAGCTTTGCGGCGTAATGTTCGGGAAGCTGCAATGTCAAAAAAAGGTCAGGAGTGTCTGGCATTCCTGGTTTTGGTTGCCGAAGAAGGGTGAAAGAAGGCGTGTGGCACAGAGCCCATTGTTACCTGAGGACTGTAAACATGAGAGATGTGAGCACGAGGCCCCAAACCCTACAAAGTAGAAGGTTATGAGCCTTCAACTATGGGGTATGACCGAAACCCCTCACACGGTAGGTTATTGGACTTTGATAATTATCAACAGGGCTTAGTCGGTTATGACCCCGCAATTAGAAGGTATCCCCGGGTAATCCTGAAACCAGGGTCCTGATATAAGGGGTCGTATAATGAATTTTGGTATGTGTGTACATACATACACACCAAATAAGTATCCCATCTTCAATCGAGGACTTCTGTTCGTGTCCCCTGTTTGCGGAAACCAGTCCCAAACACCTGCGTGTCAACCCTTCTGCTACTCAAGTGTTCAAGGTAACACAGGGTCTTACCCTAAGGGTTTAGGGTTTAGGGTTATAGGGGTTTAGGGTTTCACAGGGTCTTACCCTAAGGGTCCAAGTAGCTAAGAGCCATCTACTCTCCGTCGGCCTGAGGCCAGAGCGCTTACCTTCCGCTTCTCCTCCGCTACGTGGATTTCTTGGCACCGCGCTTGGAGAGGCGCTGCTGGTATGGACGTAGGCTCCCGACGACCAGCCTAACCATGGTATTTTGGGGGACCTAGACTAACTCCATAATGGTAGTGTATATACTGTTGTATACCCTGCACCCATAAGCCCAGAACCTTGAACCCTAAACCCTAAGCCCTATATTAGGCCCTATATGCACCTTCAATCAGGCTCTCGCAACATTTGCCGCTGATTCGGCCTCATATGGTCGGCTTCTCAGGACCGTGTGGAAAAGCCCTGGGACTCTAGGGGTTCTGTAGGGTTAAAGGGTATGTTGATCACTGGGACCAGAGGTTAATCCTGCAGCAGTATCCATCGCTCTCCTTCTATATAGAAACGTGACTACACGGACAAGAAACGAACTGTGACTTGTGTATAAGAACTCGGACGAAAAACAATCACACAAATCAAGCGCCGAAACTCCCTGAAGCTTAGGGGTTCGGGCACACGTAGAAGGGGACAAGGTTCAACAAGCCTGGGCAACCAGAAAACCTGGACACCTTCACCTGCCACCTCAATCCCACCCCTCCTGTCCTACCAACGGGCATTCAAACCCTCACTTCAGACAGGGGTGTCTTTTTCACTTGAGCCACACATGCGTCAGCATGTCTGTAACTTCTCTTTGGCAGCTTCTGTGCACATGCCATGGTTGTGAAGTTACCGTAGGACACCCACACAAAACAAAAGCTCGGCCCGTATTCACGCACACTCCTCCTCAAGCTGAGGAAGATTCCGTAAGCTTGCACAACACATCGCGCAGGGCCAAAGGAGCTTTGTCTTATCCACGATACTGGAAGAGCCCTTGCTGTCTCTCGCAGTAGTGGCATAGGGTAACCTGCCTTGTTCTAGTCCTCGCATTCCGAAGACCGTGGCAGTGAGGGTCAAAGTGTACCCGATCTCCATACTCGCTCATCACAAAAGGGCCTCGAAAAGGCATGTAGTTGTCGACGACAGGATCGGTCTGCACTTCAACAGACCGCCTCGTAGTAGTCGGTGTCCGGGAGGGCGATGCACGCGGTGTAGGTCTTCTCGAAGAAGCCGGCGGGGTAGAGGACCCAACATCTCGATCATGTAGGTCGTAACGCGACACTTCCTCTTGGACCACCTGCTGCAGCCTGCGAAGACGCCTCGCACCCCTAGCCTCTTCGACAGATCCCTTTCTTCCCAAGGAAATCCATTCAAAGAACCACTTTATGGCTTCCCAAACCGCTATAGCCGCAATGACACACAGCACCGCCAAGCCGTACAGGTCCCAGGGCATGCTGACCTCAATGCCCGAGGATGTAGTAGAGGCTGCCCGGCTTCCTTGGATCAACCAACCCAGCACCACAACAAAGCGAGCCAAGATGGCAATCGAGCCATTGAGCCCCGTCCTCATTGAACTCAAGGCGGAGGGTGTAACCTCAGTCTCCTCCTCACCTCGTCTTAGGCCCCATAAATGAAGCAACTGTTGAAGGCGGGGTCGATGGAACGCCTTCGTGCCTAAGTCTCCAAGCTGGTCTGCCCCAGCCACATGAACTATAGATAGCTGCTTTAGGCGAACAGCTTCTCTCAAATGGTATGCACGTACTCGTAGGTGGCGGGTCTTCCAAGTCGCCGCCGACTCGTTGCTGAGACCAACAGCCGCGCTGTTGTCCACTCTCAGCTGCATCTTCGGGGGCTCATCTTGGAGCTCTCCGGTAAATGCCGCAAGGCCTTGCATCATCTGGACAGCGTTGATAGCCTCTATTAACTCTGCCTCCGCAACGCTAAGGGCGATAAGGGATTGTCTTCCGCACCGCCACGATATAGGCTGGTTGAGGTAGCAGGCGACGCTGCAACCAAAGCTTCGCGACCCCTGTGGGGCAAACGACGCGTCGCTGTACCCAACAATCACATGTTGGGTACTCTCAGGCTTGTAGTAGAGCTCGACATCGATCGTATCCTTGAGATAGCCCAAGGCCCGTAGGCCGATCTTCTCAACCAACTCCGCGTCCTTGAGGCATAGGGCCGACATTGTGGCTACCGTATGTAGCAAATCCGGACGGCTCTTTCCACTGAGCCAAAGCAGCTCTCCAGTCAAGGCCTGAGCACGCCTCAACTGCTCTGGAGTGTGTTGCTTCTCGAAGAACTCGGCCTCGCCCAACAACCATTCCTGCGGGCAGGGCGTAGCATGTCCCCTGGACTTCCAAAGGTCGTGATGCCGAAGTAGTTCTTCGATGTAGCCACGCTGGTGAATTCTTACGCCACCAGACTCAGTACGGCCTATTTCCAGGCCGAGGAACCTGATGGTAGAGGCCGTTCCCGCCCAAGTCAACGGAGACGCCTTCCACTCTTCAGTAAGCCACGAGTAAGCCGCACAAACAGCCTTCTCCTCCCCCATATACAGGAGGTCGTCAACGTAAATGTTGATATAGCCGACGATGATCTCAGAAGAGTCGGCTTGAACCTTGACAATCGACCACACGTTCTCATCGGCCCGGTGTTGCCGAAGATACAGCCTTCCGCCTTCAAACGGAATAGAAGCTCCTCTAAGCCTCTTGTCACGGAACTTCCCCCATAGCCTAGGAGAACGGCGAAAGCCGTACAGTGCCCTGTCGACACGCCACAGACGAAGGGC